CTTCCGATTCGCTTACCTTAATTCCAAAATAAGAATTTCCTAAAAAACAAGAAAAAAGAAAGGAAAAGGTTAAATTTCTAAAAAAAAAATAAATAAATAAATAAATTTTTTCGGAATATTCCGAAAGTTAATTAGTTTTATACTGTAAACTGAATTATTTATACTATTTATCATAAATGCTACAAATGGATGATTTTGCACCATCCGATTGAAACGATATAGAAAATCGTTCATAAGGAACGATAATTTGATCGTTCCTTATGAAAGATAACAAAATCATTCATAAGGAACAATATTTTGATCGTTCCTTAAGAACAATGTCAAAAATCGTTCTTCGGAATCATTCTGAAAGAATGATAAAAAAAATATCGTTCTTTTCATAACGATGATGTATCGTTCCTTTTGAGATGATTTCTATCATCTCTTTGGGGACGAATGTATCGTTCCTTTTGAGACGATTTCTATTGTCTCTTTTGGGGACGATATTTCGTTCCTTTTGAGACGATTTCTATTGTCTCTTTTGGAACGAATGTATCGTTCCTTTTGAGACGATTTTTATTGTCTCTTTTGGAGACGATATTTCGTTCCTTTTGAAACGATTTCTATCGTCTCTTTTGGGGACAATATTTCGTTCCTTTAGGGACAATTTCTATCGTCTCTTTTGGGAACGATTGTTCATTCCTTTTGAGATAATTTCTATCGCCTCTTTTGGGGATGAATGTATCGTTCCTTTTGAGATGATTTCTATCGCCTCTTTGGAGACGAATGTATCGTCTCTTTGGAATGACTACTCTCAGAATGTTTTTATAATTTTCACAAAAATCAGCTCAACAGATTTTACCAGTGAGATATAGTCGATTTGTTGCCAAATCTTGAGTCTAACTGAAATTTTGCTGAATATTTTAACCGAAAAGTCTTAATGCTGAAATAATGCTAAATTATGTGTGATGTAACAAATTACTATCGATTTTTATAACTTAAGCCGAATTTTTATCAAATCACATGACCGAATCGGCTGAATGTTTACCCAAAAGTATTAGTGCTAAAATAATGTTAAATTATATGTAATATAACAAATTACTATCGATTTTTGTAACTTAAGCTAAATGTTTGCCAAATCACATGACCGAATCAGCTGAATGTTTACCGAAAGATATTAGTGCTGAAAGAAATGATTTTGACTAGTGACTGCAATAAGGCTATTGTAATCTAATATGGATTAATAGTCGTAGACCTTTAAAACACATTAATTGCAACTGTGCAGGCTATTATTTATTAATAAAAAATAAAAAAAATCAGAATAAATAGAATAAACACAGATCATCCTTTATTTTTATTTCTCAGATTTTTAGATTAGAATATTTAGTACAATCAGAACATAAGTAAGGAAATTATTAAATTATTTAATAAAAATCATTGAATTTTATTATAAAGGATTAAAATTCTTCTTAGGATTCCTATTCTATAATAATCTAGATTCTTTGAATTATTAATCATCATTTTAATGATCAAAATAAGTAGAATTAGATTATATGCGTTTACTTATTGCTTGTAAAAAAATCATTACAATCAATGACCAAAATTATACGAACACTTTTTAATCAAAAAATTTATATAAATAAAATAAAGTGGTAATAAAACAAAAGATAAATTTTATTTATTTTATTTTTATTTATTGATTTTTACAAAAAAAATCACAATACAAATATTTAATTCTATTTTCATTTGCAGCAATAATCACATTGATCCTCCGTATTATGCTATCAATTAATTTTTTATAATATTCTGAAGGAATATCTTTTTAAGCATTTTTAACATATTTTTCAAACTCTCAGATATTAGATAGTGGAGAATACGATATCAAACCATCATTTTCATTTCTGCCTAAAGATTTTTGATTAAGTTTAAGTTCAGACTTTAGGCAAATCAAGAAAGTATTACAATTTCAGCACTTTCAAAGCAGCTGCAGCAACTTTTGAATAATGCAATGTAGCATTATCTTCTTGGAAAATATTTCTGTAAAATAAGAACAACATATTTTTGAATAGTTTCAGTATATGTTTTACAAGTAACTGAACTATTTAAAGGAACAATCAGTTCAAGTCTACTACAAGAAAAATATTTACTTGGACTGTGTTTTATAGTAACTGAAATGCAATCAGAGTTCAATTCTTCTCCTGGTTCATGCCATACTTTTTCTTAACGTTCTTGTTGAAATTGTATAAAAGTACTCTCATCTGAAAAAAACACTTTTCTTTATTGTTTTGTTGTCTATTTTTCATGTGTGCGAGCCCATTCAAGATGAATTTGACAATGTGCTTCTGTTATTGCAGGTTTGTGATGAGAAATATGAGCACTAAGTCCAACTTTTTTAAGGACACGATGTATAGTAAATGCAGAAATGGGTTTTTTTAAATGAGATGTCTAAACAGTTAAAAGTTTTTTTGCACAAAGCCGACAATTTTCACCATTTACTTGAATAAAAGCTTTAAGCTCTTGTTGAGATAATATATTAAGGAGTGGTGGGAGGTCAGTTTGTTTTTTTGAGAAAAACCAGTTTGACAAAGATGTTTAAGTGTCTTATAAGCAGCCGTTTTATTACATCCCAAATTTTTAGCAATAGTGCGACCTGATTGTCCACATTTTTTACCATAATTGAAATAGCTAAAAAATTTTATGTTTATGAGCATGACTGAAGTTCTGTTTATGCATAATGTTACACAAAATTTACATATAAAATTCTTTATAAGATATGAAGCATTATATAGTAGCACACTAATAGCAATTATGCAACTTATAATAAAAACTTCGTTAACTTATTATTCAGTCATTATAATATTCAAATAAAGTGACACATTTCTGAGATCTCTTTATTCCACCAAGTTTTATTAGGAAGAACTTCAGAATTACAAGCATATTACACAAAGTCAGTATATTTGTTTTATACCCTTTAAAGGACCAAAATATTAATAAACTCTGGTCTTTTTCTTACAAAAAACACCTTTATATTCACGTGAACAAGGTTGAAATACAAAAAGATGATCAAAGCTATTAGTGAAATTTGATTCAGCCAATTAGAATCCTTGTCGATCAACCAATGAAATCAAACTTCTGTTATGCTATGTTCATGTTTATCATATAAATAAATAAAAAATCTACGATGATCTGCCCAATTTTGGTAAAAAAAAATTGTCCGCATAATTTTGGTCGTTGACTGTATTATCATTAGTCGTTTACAAGAAATAATAAATAAATGAATCGATTTTTTGAATATGAAGAAGGCGACAATTATTATTAATTGGACAATAAATTTGGTAAAATGTATTAGTTTATTTATTCGTAAGTTTTTTTTTTATAAAAAAAATTGTCTATCAATGTATTAAAAGTAGTAGCTCTTTCCAACATTAAATAAATGCTTGATATATAATATAATACAAATAAAAAAATCTTTAATGATATTTATTTCAAAAGCACATCTAATTTATCTAGTGCCAGCTTCCATCCTTGTTCGGCAGATTCCAAGTACCAACGAATAGCCTGATCGGTATCTTTGGCAATTCCATCCCCATTTTCATACATTAATCCAAGGTTATATTTTGCTATATGACTTCCTAAATTAGCAGCTCTTTGATATAATTCGAAAGCCTTTTGCTTATTGATGTTGGTTCCAATGCCTTCATCGTAACAATATCCCAACATACATATACCGTCTATGTAATCCTCATCAACCGATCTTTGGATAAGTTCAAAACCCTTATTCATATTTTTTACAGTTCCATCCCCATTTATATACATTAATCCGAGATTATATTGTGCTTTAATATTTCCCAAATTAGCGGCTTTTTGATATAACTCGAATGCCTTTTGCTTATTAATACAAGTCCCAATACCCTCATAATAACAATATCCTACCATACACATTCCACTTGAATCATTCTCATCGGCTGATTTTGCGAAATATTCAAATGCTTTATTCGCATTTTTTCCAATTCCATCTCCGTTTAAATAACAAAGTCCTAGACGATAGATTGCTTTTGTATTGTCATTTTTCGCCGCTTTCTCGTACCAATAAACAGCTCTCTCCATATTTTTTTCTATCCCGTCCCCATTGTTGTACACTAATCCAAGGTTATATTGTGCCTCACTACTCCCTAAATCGGAAGCTGTTAGATACAGTTTAAACGCCTTTTGCCTATCAACATTGGTCCCGATACCTCTTTGATGGCAATTTCCCAACATATATATTCCATCTACATGATTTCCATCGGCTGATTTTTGGAAAAATTTAATAGCTCTATTGTAATCCTTTTCCACGCCTATACCATTTTTATAACAAATTCCTAGATTGTAATTTGCCAAGATATCACCAGTCTTGGATGCCTTTTTATACCAATAAATGGCTTCATTCATATTTCTTGAAACGCCGTCTCCATATTCGTATTTGAGTCCTAGATTATATTGTGCTTTACCATTTTCTAAATTAGCAGCCTTTTGGTATAATTGAAACGCTCTTAGCTTGTTAATGCTAGTCCCAACTCCGTTATCATAACAGTATCCTAACATATATATTCCATCTAAATAATTCCCATCAGCTGATTTTTTGAAAAGTTCAATGGCTTTATCCATATTCTTTACGACCCCATCTCCATTCTTATACATTAATCCAAGATTATATTGCGCAATAGGACTTCCTAAATTCGAGGCTTTTTGATACAATTCAAATGCATTTTGCTTATCAATATCAGTTCCAATTCCATTATTATAACAATATCCTAACATCAATATTCCACCTAAATATTCACCCACGGCAGATTGCTTAAATAATTCAAAGGATTTATTATAATTTATATCAACACCTTTTCCATTTTTATAACAAATCCCAAGGTTATAAATAGCATTTATGTTTCCATTATTTGCGGCCTTTTCATACCAATGAATGGCCTTTTTTAAATCCTTTTTAACCCCGATCCCATTGCTATAAAAGTAACCAATCTGCAATTGCCCAGCCGCGAAACCTTCATCAGTTGTTTTGTCAAAATATTCAAAAGCTAACCTATCATCTCTTGCGACACCATCTCCATTTTGATAACATTTCCCAACATAAATATGCGCTAAAATGTGATTTTGTTTCGAAGCATTAACAAACAATTCAAATGCTTTTTCCTTGTTTTCATTTATTTCAATTCCAAAAAAGTTGAAATATCCTAGTAAAAAAATGGAATTGACATTACATTGATTTTTTAATAACCAATCAACGACTTCGTGCAAAGTAATTTTTTGACTATCAAGGTAATCAAGAATATGTTGATGTTGAACGTTTGATGGTTTTCCTTCATTTTGCTCTTTTAAGATCAAATTAACTATTTCATCAACAACTATGCTTAAATCTACAATGACACTAATCCCAGTGATACTTGTGATGCGAGATGATGGTCTTAAATATGATGGACCACTGCTGCTAGTATCATCAGATCGTTGCTCGTAATTTTCTATTGGAAGAACTTCAGATATTATTCTTGTGGAGATAATTGCATTCAATCTAGTAACCACTTGATTGATAGTTGGACGGTTAACCGGTTCATCATCCCAACAATCTAATAAAAACGGATTAAACATAAATTTTAACAATTAAAGTTATACCGTCGCAAATATTAATAACATATTTACCAGTATAAATTTTAACGTAATCAACAGGCGTACCCTGGACGGTTGACTCTCTAAGCCCTTGTAAAATGTTCACAATCAAACTAACATTATGTTGTTCACCTTCAGTATAAAAAGGAGGACAACCACTTGAAATTTCCCACAAAAGTATACCAATACTGTAAACATCACTCTTTTCATTTAATCTATACGGTTGTATTGGGGAGCCATTATTCAACCTTTTTGGATCAATATAGGGAATTATACCAAGTAAGTCCGAATGTTTAGATGATGCGTCTTCAATTCGTTTTGATAACCCAAAATCAGCCAGTTTAATGCTATGTTGATGAATCAATATATTTTTAGAATGCTGTCATAAATAGGGATTTCAAGATTAATACTTGTCTTTTTAAATAACATGGATATAAGAGATGATAACCATCTTACCAAATCACGATGCACGATACCTTCATCATGCAAACATGAGACGGCACAGGCCAACTGGTACGCCAAATTGTATTTATCTTCCCAGGTGAGATTGTCAAAACTTTCCTTTAAATATTCTCGAAGTGTACCCCCATCAGCGTATTCCATTACGAACAAATATTTTTTGAAGTGATCGTGTTGATTTTCTAATTCAAAAATAGGACTTTTATTATTATTTATTCTAAAACTCTCGATAATTTATCGAATAATGTTATATGTTCGATATATACCTTGATTCGAAATTGTAATCCCATATAAGCGAATGATGTTTTTATGAAAATCCACTTCTCGATGAAGTTCAAGCTAAAATGATAATTAAATAAATTAAAAACATGCACAATTTGATTGGCAAAAATAGAACGAATATCATGTATGCTTGTAAATTTATTACCTCCCGAACAAGTTCATTTATGGCGATATTGTCAAGATTAAAAAATGATTTCAATGCAAAATATTGTTCTGATTTTTTCCAATTTGCACGATAAACTCTTCCGAAAGCACCAGAGCCAACCTTTTGCAAGTTACTAAAATGTTGGTATTCATAATATTTAATCTTTTTTTTATCAATAGCTTCTTCAAACCAACGCTCATTAGAATTGTCTGTACTTTGCATTTTTTGATATCATTTGAAAAAAAAAGGAATAATTTTTTTAAAAAAAACGGGATACTACTATATATGGGAATTCATTTCACATTGGTTAAGATTGAAAGATAAGATGTTCAACAAGTCGATCACTTTGAATGGATACCATTTTCCAATTTAATATGGATAGCATGGATAGAACAATGTACATTTGAAACGTTATGGGTATTAGAAATTTAATAACGTAGAGATAGATAATGGAAGATATGGTAAATGTTTAGAGCGAATTGGAAACAACAGTACATTATAATTAACAGATTTTGGATTAAGTAAGCGTATCGATAGTAATAGCACATCAAAAATATTTGGTGTTATTCTATCAAAGTATTTAGTAGTACAAGAAAATGTCTTCTACTGAAAAGGTAAATTGAATAAGAGATTGATTATGATTTACAATTGATCATGGATATTTCACAAGGTTAATATTCTGAACTTTATACAAGATAAAAGGTTTTATATTTTAATATGTATACTAATGGGATGGTGATCCAGATAAAAGATCGACAATTCACGAAGTTGTCATAAATATGAACATTAAACCATTTCAAATCATACGAATGAAGGAAAATCACGTGATCAGCGTCTCTTATTTTAATAATATTATTTGGGAATTTGTAAGAATATAATTTATAGCAAAAAGCGACAAACATAATATCGGTAGTTGTTACCGATTAGGAGTTTGTGTTCAGAAATATTATAATTTGGCTTTTTATTAAGCACGCGGATGGAATATGCTTTTGGTATTGGCATGTTAGATTATTCTTTGACACATAATGTTGGCGATGTTTGGAAGATGGTATTGGCACAGTATTAAAAAATGTTATTTATGGCAATGAAACAGCAATAAAAAAATTGAGTCAACAACAAAATTAGCAATTTGGCAAATGACTAAACCTTAGTTTCACTAGTTATCTTTTTCACACCCCGAAGATTTCTTTTCCCGTTCCAACAATTTGAAAGATCTGTATTAAATAAATTTTATGTGATTCGATATTAAATATTTCATATAATATTTTTATATCAAGGTTATATTACTGTATGCTAGTTTACAAGACACTTTGCCAATGATGTGAATTTATGCTTCCAACCTTTCCAAAGTGTGTTTTTACTAGTGCTTTCAATATTCAAGAGCGCATCACGGTGTTGATGTTTCAAATTAGAATCATCTAAGAAAATTTCCACTTACGTCATCTATTCATACCCCCGCTTGTTTCGTTTTTAGAAAAAAATAAAATGTGCTCGGTTTAGTATACAAGTTTCGAATTAAAATAACCGTCATAACTTGGTAACCTTTTTTTTTTTAAAAAAAAAGAGTTTCTTGCAAGATCTCTGACTTTTTTTATAATAAGGAAAGCTCTAATCAGCAGTCCAATCAAGCGAGCCTACACTTAGTTCTGTGGTCATGAAAATCGTTTATCCAATCGGAAAATTTGCACCCTTTAAATATATTTTTTTTTTTTGAATAAAAAAAAATTCAATTTATGTCACGAGTCCTGGTTAGGGTCACGATATTTTGCCTGAATGATTAAATGATATAAATGATATGCACAAGAGTGAAACTATCGACCTAAATTTGGAAAATCTAATTAAATGCACTTTTTCATTATCTGTATAAATAACATTTTTTTTTTACTTTCGTATTTATATTACTTAAAAATTCGAGTCGAATCCGAGTTAAACAATAATCTGGTCGGGTCGGACAATAATCGGGTCGACTTGAATTAGGGTCCTGTAAATATTAATGGGTTCGAGTTTGAATTTGCTTCAAACCCGACCCGACCCGACCCTTACGGAGCACTAGAATTACCGTAGATTATTTTTGTTAGTCAATCGAATATTCTGGCATCATTATTTTATTCAATTACTCATGGCAGAGTAAATTTTCCGCGTCAATACATAGGAATCTGATCTCTGGTGTAAAGCTCTTTGAATTTGAGTAAGTTTGTTTTTGATCGTGCGTAAATGTATCAGACTTATTATCTAGACTTACCAAATCTTTTATTAACTTAGGTGTGGATAATCGAAGTATCCAAAATCAGAGTTTACAGAAGTTGTTCTTATACATCGAATTTTTCATCAGACATAAGCATACGATGCAAATTTTCAATAGGAGATGCTTTTAATTTACCTTTTGAGAATGAATTGACTTCATACGTCATGTTTCCATATGTTCCATTAGAAAATTCGGTCGTTAAGAGAACTTGAAGAGGAGGTAATTAACTATAAGATCTCTTATATACTGTATAGTTTAGCTTCTTCTCATAATTTATTTACCTTCCTAATTTTTCCTTTATACCTTCATAATTTATTTTACGATCCTTATTTTTTCTTTATATATACATAATTTATTTTACAATGTACTATTATTATACATAACTACAATAAAATTTTTTCTACAAATACTCATTTAAACATATAAAAGATACTTGAAATGAATTCAACCTTTCAAAAAGATTTTATACAATTGCTCGAGACGTCATTCCTATTTTTTTTTATAAATACATTGGATTTGTAAATTTAATATTCTAAATATCGGAAGGTTCTTATAATTATCAAAATTAAATCTATAAGAAAATTGGCATTAAATGTGATGTTGATCCTTTTTATTGGATAATACCTATGAGATGGTGGTTGAAGGGATAATAACTGCTATTATAGCAGAATATTTTCTAAATCCTTTTATTGCAAAACCTACATTACTTCAATTATTATATAAAATAAAGAAATTGTGCGGTTTCTAATATTTGATTAAAATTATTTCCATAAAATACTTGGTTGCCATCAAGTAGGGGAAAGCTATAAGGTTTTCTTGAACATTTTAAAAGCGTCATTTGGATAAAAACCTTCGTTTATAAATGGTAATGTTCTTTGCACAATATATACGTTTTTATTGGTAGATTTGGCATAGTTATTGTGTTACAAGGCCTAAAAGTTTCGTGTTACAAAGTTAAAAAATGTGTTTATTGTTATTGGCCAGTACTTTTGTCGATCAGTGTTGTTATACGCTTATAGTCAAAGCCATTAGCAGCAGCTTTTTTATACCACTCATTAGCTTTTTCTTTATTTTTTGTTGTTCCAATGCCATCTTCAAAACAAATGGCAACATTATATTGCGCAACATTATAATTCATATTGGCAGCTTTCAAGTATAATTCAAAAGCCCTTCTTTCATCAACAGAAGTACCAATACCTTGTATATAACAATCACCTAACCTTTCAATACCAGGAACATGTTCATTCTGATCACATAAATTATAATAATAAAAAGCCTTAATTTCATCTTTTTGAACACCAATTCCAACACGA